CACGTTATTATAAACGTAATAGTCGTGTCATTTGTACTGAGCTAATTAAACGCGCGCAAACTCTCTCATGTGTTTACATGTAGCTCGCTATAACGAGCGATAAATATGTAATAATCGTTAGTCACCCTCATCGTTGTTTTCGCGAAAATCTCAGTCATTTTGGCGTCGACCCAGGCTGCGACGCGTCGTTCGATAATCCTGTTCGTAATTACCGCGAAAGAGCCGATCTGTTTGCCGTTCTCCTTTCTTCGCGAGAAGCTGCCTCGCGATACGCAAGTGTAAATGCAGAATTTATCCGATGCCAAGTGCGAGCTGCGAACATTGGCGTCGTCGCCATTCGCAATGCGCGATAAATCGTGGACAATATTAACGGCCGGAATCGAGTCGATGCATAAATTCGGTGGTTGTAGCGATATATATTCGGAGAAATATAACGTATCTCTCTGGATGATTCATTATTCCGGCATTCTAATCTAGATTTTCAGATGTTCACGTATACTTCACGTGAAGAGCCATTCCAAAATTTACGACAGGACGATCGTCAATGTAACGAGATTATTTTAAAAATCTTTCAATCTATAATTATACAGAGTTAAGAGTTGATGGTATTAAATTTTATAACGATATGTACAATGTTCGTTCATGCAGAGTGAAAAATACTCGGATATTTCAGAATTATCGAGAAATTTTGAACACCAAAAATTTCGCATTGAGAATTTTGTGTCGTGAATTTATTCGGCACATTCACATATAACACAATCTATTTGAACCGGAATCGCAAATGCCGGTGTATTCGCCCTGCCGTCGCTGGTCGCAAATTGGAATGTCTCCAGAGCATCCAGGGCGAGTCGTAAACGCCCGGCTCGCCGAACGTAGATCTCTGCGTGTATTTCTGCGAGCGCGCAGGGCGCCTCCGTCTGGCCGGGATATAAATTAGATCGACTTGTCACCGGTTGCTGACACTAAATAATACTTAGCGACTGGATTAACGCGCGGTCTTTAACCGCGAGAGGCCAACCCTCCGCGCTCGCGGTTTCCGACCGCGCGCGGTCCAACCTCCTATTTCACGGATTGCATGAACTCGTCCGGGAACGATTTACGCGCGGCGCTCGGCGGGCGTGGACCAGCACGCCATTGCCATTGGAGTCTACGTCGAAAGAACAGACGGAGGAAAAATAAGCTCCGGTGATTTACGGGTGATTAACGCGTGGCGGATTAAAGGCGCTGCCTCCCACGCATCTCCCGACTGTATCTTCATATGCGTGTCCGTGTCGTTAAATACATAAAAGATAATCCTGATGAGAGAATAAAACTGTCGGCTCTCCTCATGGTATCCGAGACGATGGGAGCTCGCATTTTATACAGATACGAGCATTCTTGCGAATATTATTTATAAATCCACTGATGCGGATTAACGCCAATATGTTCGCCAATAAACAAACTGTATTATTGTACTTTCTAGTTTTATTTGTTTTTTTTTTGTTGAAATCATTACACAGGATTGAAAAATGCGTTCGCCTATCTGAATACGCTGAAAATATATAAGTGTATCGAAAAAATATACGAAAGATAAATAAGCTCCATGATTAACGCGAGACAGATTAATGACGCTGTCGTCTCTCAGCATACGTATATATGTTACTGCGCTAAGTTTATAAAATAATCTGTGTGAAAAAATAAATTTGATTCTAAAATTAACAAGAGTTTGTGGTTCTTTATGAATGGTTTTACTTGATTTATTCTGCACTCACAAATTAAGGTTAATGTCTTCAAAACAGCATGGAAAATATCAAGAAAAAATAAATTAAAAATATACATATATAAATCTGCGTTTACATAGTAACTAAAGAAGATTATCCGTTTCTTATGTTAAGCTCCCCTCGATTTCTGGACGCTAACGAAATGCCGGGCGGAAAGTACCGCAAGAAGTTAGACATGCGGCAGTGTCCCGAGAAATCCGATTGCCGCGTAAAAAAGCTTGTAAACAGGACTGTTTGAGAAGACTTATTATTTCCTGCCTGTCGTACGAACACTTTTCGATTACGACACCGCTCATTTCGAGACGCGGGGCGACGCGCGTATTTATTTTCGATGTCGGCAACGACGACCGTACTCCAAGTATCGATTATGGATGGCGTTAATGAGAGATCGACATGTTAATTTTCTTTCACGCTTATCTGGCCACCGGATAAACGAAAATGTGATGGCCGGGATGCGCGTAGTAATACGCTCCAATTTTTAACGCCGACGTATAGAATTTTGTCGGCTACGCTACAATTCGCTGAACATGGACGACTAAAAGTCTCACGGTACGCGTTTGCTCAATAAATTAAAAATTCCACGCTGTTGTTTGCTTGGGCAAGTTTTATGTAAACGCGAAGTTATCGTCGAGCCGGGGAATTTTATTATTCAAGTTCGCTTTTTACAAGAATTTATAGCGAGAGTGCTCGAGTGTTCCTCTTGAAGTATTGCTTTTACCGGATTATTAGACAATATAATTGGCCATTTATTTTCATCATTATTTGGTGAATTATTATTTAATTAAAAAGTGAATAAAAGTAATAAATAAGTCTAATATTACGTCGATTGAAAGATAACACGACAAGTAAAGCAAATCAAACGTAATAAGATCGTTTTGTTACAAGAAGAATTTTCGCTAAACTCGATCTGAGGAAAAACGCCTATTAGAGTAATAAAAATCTGAAACCGAAGTTAATTAATTCTACAATCAATGATGCCTGTGAAAAAAGAGATAAAAATTCTTAATGTTTGATCTGCAATACAATGGAATTTCATTAAAACAACGTCGACAGAATAGAACTTTTGTAACATAAAATTTTAATTAATTTTATGTAACAATATTAAAATATCAGAAAATTCGATGACATTTGTTAATCAAATTTCCACATATTTAGAAATAATTATTTTATTAATAAATACTTGCATATTTGTGTCTTAATTAGGTTTAGTTATTGATAAAACTGCCGATAAATGACACGTTTAGGTAACCTCGTAGAGACAAATCAGTCTATAGATCATCTCTTCGTTTCGATCGTCTCCATGTTAGACTCGAACCGAAAATAAAGTGATTCGTCACCATAATCGTTCGCTCGTCGCCGTGAGCGAACGACCATCGATATCCTGTCGGTACAAAAGAGTCCTTAATCAGAGGATTCCTACCGTTTTGTATCAGTCGAAGTTACGACGCTTCCTTAGCCAGCGCGGTCATCATTATGCAATACGATCAGAACGTGAAGTAAAGTGCGACGTAGATCGACCGACTCCAGAAGTTGGAACATAATTCAGAACTTTGTCGCTGATCCCGCTCGTTAAGAAGAAGCGTTTTTTAGGACACCGTGCCCGCTGCCGTTCGATAACTTTTTTCTTTTATTCAGGTCGGGACGCGATGCCGCAGAAAACATATAACCATGTGGTAAAACTCGATCATGGAACCGAAATAATTTTACATTCAACACACAGTTACTTATAATCTTAATTTTAGTGCTAATAACTAATTCTCAGATTAGAGTCTTTAAATTAATGGTTCCTATAATACGAATTTTCTAAAATATACATTCCCCTACAGAACTCTTCGTGGCAATACATATGTGATATCCAATGTATCGCATTTGTATCTTCTTTTTCTTTGATAAAATTATTATGGCATATATTAATGTATAACTGTATATACATTTTTACAAAGAAATAATATTATTCTTCCATCATTATCTAGATATAAATGAAAGCAGTTTATCGTGATGTTTTCTATAAAGACATCTGATTATACATTTTACTTTCGAACGATTCGAAGGTTCAGATATCGCCTTAGAGTGACGAGCGCGGAATAAGATGCAGGTTTAAGCGGTTTCAATGAGGAGAATATACGGAGGAGCGTATGTGTAAACCTGTAAGCGAGTTATGTGGACGAACGCTCGTGCAACGCGGTTCGACCCGAGTAATTCCCGTTCGCCTAATGGAGATAAGCCGGAACGTACGATGCGGTTTTCTCAGGTGGCGTAATGAGCGAGGACACGGGACCCTTAATATCGCGGTCGACTTGCCCTCGCGGACGCAGGTGCGGCGAAATTGCCTCCGTCGTAGAATCTGAACCTTCGTGGTACATAGCCCCCAGTTCGTAGCACGGCTTTACGAACCACGCGAAAGCCGAGCCTTACGAGGTAGGTACTATACGCTTCCGCCGTGGTGTCCCCCGAGGGACAGTCGAGTGCCTTCCTACGAGCTGCTGCGGGCTTATATCGTCGTTGAAATAATTAATCGGCACTGCGTGCGAGATCGATAGTCCCGCCTGCATTGCGCCCAGCTCCGTTCTTACCTCGAGCTAACTTCAAAAATATATATATATCAAAATGCATCGCAAAACATCGGCGGGTATTCATTAAACGGAACAAGATTCATTTCGTTATATGTCGGATATTCCACTTTGAACGTTTATAAATGAAAGACACGGGAAATTAAACGAGCTTGATTGTATTCATTGCCTCTTATAAGATTACACTTCTGCACCATAATACAGCGCAAAGAAAAAGAGATTTACTTCTGCGCGAAGCGAGCTCTAAGCAACGCTTCACCGCAACCGTGCTGACACGCGCTCGGCTCTGTACACGTACGAAATTAATTTGGATCGTTATTTGCGTCAATAGCGTGCAGCTCGAACCGCGACTTAGACGCGCCTCGTTATGCGTTGCAGCGTTAATTACTCTCCGCTTCACCCAGGAACCTCAATCACCTCTGTCTCGCGTAAGCGTGTCAACACACACGTGAATACAAACCCCACCTGGGGAAGCTTTCACGCCGCTGAAAATACCTTTGAACGGAAGTGTGCGGAGATGAATCTCGTGCGCGCGGGCACATATGGGGAAATTTCTGCATCGCCGTGACGAGCTACTCACGCACAGAAACTCGCGAAATCCATTCCATTTTTCGAGCAATCCATGCTCAAAACTACGTACAATCTAGGAAGACAGAAGAGAGAGACTCACCGTGCGAATCTGGAGGGAAGCCCCGTTTGTCACGTGCACCCTGCCGGCATTCTCCGTTCCTCCTTCCGTTCGCGACGTTTTCCTCGCTAGTTCGCCTTGCCAGAGTCCCGATGACTTTCGACTCGATGGACTTTAGGCCACGCAAAATCGCATCTTCAACTTCCAAACGCTGGCAGTAAAAGATTGGTAAGAAGATTGTCCGACGAGGATTACTGTCGTGCGGAACGAATCGATCTTGCAAAAAAATATCTGTCCAGAAAGCCTATCCAATTTATCCAATGATGCCTTTCGGTAAACTGATTCAACGCGTTGACGGTGACGGACGCAGCTCGAGGAACTATTCTTATGTTTCTAGGTATTCTTGACGAGCTTCATCCTCTTCACGCGATTCATGTATATTGCTATAAAAGTCGACTTCAGGAACAACTCTTTTTACCGGAAGCGGTCACGTGGAAAAGCGTTCCCGAGAATCGCTCGAGTTCGCTGAAGGCAACGACACGTTTATCGACCTCAAGAGGTCGTTAATCGTACCTCGTTAACGCGTTATCTCGATTCTCTAACTTCTCACCGAGCGGATGTTTCCATTCGCTCAAATTATCGCTCTCTTACTCGCTCAGACTATCTTCTCTCCCTCTTCATTCCTGTCTGGCCTTGCACACCCGTTGACCGCGATCACTTACGATCGATCTTATTGTCTCGATCGGCGAATCGAAGCGCGCCGCGAGGCGGCCGATGATCGATAAGGCGCTAACGCGCTAATTGGCAGACAGTGGCCACCGCGTTCTAACCATCGAGTTAATTATATTTAATTGGCGGGCCATTAATTGTATCCTTAATTATGGGCTTCGAGGTATCTCGTATGCGGCTCCAGTAACGATCGAGACGATGATACACGATAGAATAGGGACCACCACGTCGTCGACATAAGCGAAGAATTACGAAGACTTCACGTCGAGGACCACCACGTCGACAAGGGACGAAGTACAACAAAGCCGTTCCAGGTCCAAGATATTAAACGATCCACAACGCTCCCGTCGCCGGATTAATCCTGCAAGGTCCTCGCGCGCTTCCTCGGGGTCGCAGCAATCGAGAGGACTCGACGTCGAGTCCGCCCGTGATTTTCTCAGATGAAAAGGGCTCGGTTTGTCTCGAGAACGGTTCTTCACGAGGCTTCTTACGCGCCTCGATGCCCTCTCCCGAGAGGATCGTTCGCGGGGACGAGGGTCGTCGTCCACTTTTCTTCGCGAGAGGCGCCCTTTTTCCGGCACGATGGGCGTGCTTCAAGCCGTCGCCTCTACAGAAAGCTCCCTTATTACGGCGATCGATCGGTCACTCCCTTTCTCTCCGATCCAGACTCGTTTCGAAGAGCACACGAGGATTATGCGCCTTGTGAGCCGCTCCGTGAGAGATCACTGACGTGAGTCGCGATTGACCGTAACGAGTGCGCGATGATTGGCGTTGTCATCATCATCGTCGTCTTTAAAGAACTTTCACATTGTCTGAACGCGAACTACGATAGACGATTAGGCACTCTTCGTGACGAGATAGTTTTCGGCGCGCGCGATGCGGAACAGAACGATGTATTAGATGTATAGGTACCTTTCGAAGCAGATCGCGCAGAAAATCTTAAATCTTTAAAATACACTTCACGCTGCTCGCCATGTCGCTAAGGGAAAACGTCGAGCTCTTGCATCGCGCGCTCTTTCCGGCGCCTGTTTCGTTACACGGAACGTCAAGTTCTCGAATACAAATTCTTCATGACGTTTACGTTTCTGTATAAAATGTCGAAAGCATTCAAAGGGCAAATTCTTTGTGGAGTATCTACGCGAAATATTAAATTCTTCACGGCGTCTATGTTTCTACGTTTTGATCTTCGGGTTACGCGATCTAACCCAAGCTACGTATCAATCTTCACGTGTGCATACGTTTCCTCCCGATTGAGTCTCGCATACGGTGAATGTAAACATGCCTCATTCGTCTTCATCGACACCGAGCCAGCTTTAATCAACTTTAATGAACTCGAGCCCCGGGAATGTCTCAGCGGATCGATTCCAAGCTCTCGTTACGTCTCTCGATGTTCCTCGCAGGATTTGCAGATTACCGATGAAGATTTTCAATGGAGCCTTGAAGACTTGAAGAGCGGCGAGATCCTCCAAAGGAAAGGATCGTAGAGCAATCACCCAAGATTTGCTCAACCATGAATGCGTGGCTCTTGGTAAACGTTGTCGCTGCAGTTATTCAATTCTCGTGCGCGGACGTCGAATTCGCGGTCCGAATGGCCGTCCGCTCGCGCGAGCACCCGACGACGAACTCCGAGAGGAGGACCCGGCGCGGAGGAGACACCTTCGCCGAGGTAGAAGAGAGGTCACCCCGCAACGAAGCGGGCTCTCGGCGCGACTGAGAGGCTCGGGACCGCGGCAACGAGAGCCACCCCCGCCGATGTGAGAGGGTGGCGGAGGCCCGGCGGGGTGTAGGTGCGCGAAAGAGGTGGAGGGCTAGAGGACGAGAGGGCGAGAGGGCAAAAGAGAGCGAGAGCGAGAGAGAGGACGAAGCAGGAGTGCTGTGCGCGCAGCCGCGAGTTCGAAAGCCGGACCGACGGCATTAATTGTGTGCTCTCTTCTCCACGTCGCGAGGCGAGAATTCGCGCGAGAGATCGCGAACGCTCGCCCGCGTCACTCGCGAGTCACGATCGTCACGAGGGGATTTCTATCACACCGGAGTCTTCGATTTGCAAAAGGGTCGCTCCCCCCCATCCCCTGCACTACGCAGCTTTCCATCAGGCTAACCGCCCCAGTCGCTTTTGCAGCGGGCCCCGCATCGCCCTTCCTATTCTACCATCCTCTCCCCGTTCTCGACCGCTGCGCCTACCCTGAAATAATGGACGGATAATCTGTTCTGGCGCGGTCCCGCCGGGACTAAAAGGTTCCTCCGAATTCGTCGAGCAACCCCTGGCGCTCCGCTATCACCCCATCCTTTGACCTCTCGGTTTCGGCTGCTTTCTCAACTTTTTCACCCCTCTCTCGTCGACCACTCGCTCGCTCGCTCGCCTGACGTTCCCTTTCTCAAATGCCGCCCTTCGTTCTCTCGGGATGCGCGAGATTGAACACGGATGCTGACCTCAAACTCTACGAGGATCAAGAACCATTGCTCGAAACGATCAATGTTTTTTTTATTTTAAATAAGGCCTTATCTACGCGTGGCGCAGATCTTACCTTTAGTTTAAGATTTAAAACAATACAATTCCGTTAAGCTTAGATTTGTTGTTACAGAAAGTTATTTCTAGGTTTATCCATGATGATCAAAACAGAATAGTCACTATGTGACATAGAAGATATTTCTTTTTTCTATTCATTATGCATTAGTCTATTGCATTATAAAATCTTTTATATTCGCATAAAACAAACAAGAGACTGTTTAAAATCGTCGACACATCCTGTCTCCTGTATTTTTAACGAATTGCAAATCCACATGATATACAGCTGCAAATTCACGATATATTTATGGGCCTCGAAAGAACACATTTTTAAATAATATCGAGTATTGGCGAACTTTTTCGTTCGGGTCAATATTCGATCCAATTTTCGTTATCTATTTTGCTCTTCGGCCGTACGCGGGTTAAAAAACAATCCTTCTCGGCTAGATAAACGGAGAACGGGACGGTTAGGGCGCGACTTTTTAGTGCCGCGTTTGCATAGAAAGCACGTTTTACGGGCACGGGAAACGGCGAGGTAGATGTCCCGACGTTCCTGGACCCCTCCTCTATCGGCGGTTTTGGTGGCGGAAGTGGCACACAATTAGAAGTGTAGCAGCCGCGCCATAAACATAAAGCGCGTGTGGCCCTTGTGTGGCACTACGCCCACGTCAAACGACTCTGGCTTTTACTCCCGACAGTCGTAACGGCGACACGTACGAAAGTCCGACGCTGCACAGACGCAGTCCCTCGTCATGAATAAGGAAGATGCACGCTCGACCCTTTCACGTTTACGAAATCTGTAATTTACGTCCACGCGCGTACGTGGAAACACCGACACGAACGAGTATCACTGTCTCTAAGGTGTCAAATAAATTAGCATCGACAGGAAGAACTTGAAATAAAATTAGCAAAAGTATTCTGTTTTCTTGGTGTCCTGGCGGAATATATTCTTATTGAGATATTATAAATTACGTGGGCGCGTAACAACGTGCGAGTAACGAGTTTACTAGTGCAGTGTCTGATTTAATTATCAAACTCTGCTTTATCTCTTTCGTAGGAAATTCGACGGTTAAGAACAAAGCGCGACGTACCTCCTCGCTAATATTATTGACAAATAACGTTCGTAACAGACTAAAGAAAAGCATCGTCCCTCCTGAGAGACACGAGAGAACGCGAAATTCGTGGTAACTTCCGTAAATGAGAGGATTGCCAAGGATGGCGAAACAGGCGAAAGTTGCTCGAGGGTATACAGCCTATTTCGTCGGCGGAAGCGTCTTCGGGATTCTGTCTCGGGGGGTCGTAAGAGGGTGGAACTTACGCCGCGCCGTCGTCCTCGATAGGACTTCTCAATCCGCCTCCCGAGACCCCACACGGTAAAGACTCGTCAACTCGATCGGGACTTTAAAACAATTTTGATATCTCATCTCTGGCGCGCGTCTCCCTGCGCGACTTTCTGAAATCAGCTCCCGAAGTACTTTTCAATCTCTCGGGGGAAACTGCATCAACGTCTGATTGCCGATTCAAGCGCAAACGCGAAAAGCGCGAAGTCGCAACGAATGGGAATTTACGACAGGGGATTTTAATTTAACAGTTTTTATGTAAAATCATTATATAACATCTTAATATATCGATTTTTTTATATGGAAACAAATCAAACAGTTGTCTTTCAATTAGTGCTTTTTGTCAACATTATATTCCAAATAGAATTAATGTGAAACAACCAAAATCTGAAAAATGCATCGAAATGTCAACGATAGAATTAACGACTGCCATTTTTTAAATATATTACTACATATATTTATTATATTAGGTACTATTATATACTTTCTCCACAAAAAATTTAGTTTATTATATTAAAACTATTTCCACTCGTTTCTTCAATCGTTCATACATCTGAAAATTGCACTCCGCGTTAATGCTTGCAATTTATGTTTGATATTAATCACATTCATTTGCAGGCAATAACACCGCGCAATGATGCGATATCGATGTAATCCACGTTTATATTAATTACGTTGCTTATTAATACTAAGCCGCTGGAATCCGATTATATTCTCTGCCCGAAAAACTGGGGAATAATTTGCAAAGATTCGATGCTTACCAAATACTATAATATTTTCACAAATTACCCTGTCCGGGAGAATTTATAGTTGATCGCGCGCACCCGATTATGGCAATTCTATCGCTCGATATAAACTCGACTGTTAAGCAACTTTCAACAATGGACGCAACTGCGCCGTGGCCTTTTGTCTCCGTGGAACTTTCACAATGTCGCATTTTCCTATTGAAGTCTCAGTTAAGGCTAAGTGACATAATTTTGCGCAATTGGCAAGAGGATTATCCGCGAAAGTCCGAATTCAGTTATTGGAAGGTTAGGTGTGTAGAAGGCTTCTCATTTCTCCCGGTGAACTAATTGATCTGAAAAAGAATCTCGCGTACCCTCCCGCGACAATCGGCGATAAAGCAACACATCCACGTGCACCAAATGAAATATAGTGGAAAGCAGGAAAGACGATATTTCGTCGAATGAGAATTCTTTTTCAAGTAACGGCTCCTTCGAGCAATCGCAAAATGCTCACGAATTACTTGCAGGAATTATATCTAGTTAAGGGGCGGATTGTGTTACTTAACTTCGCTCTTCGTGGCCCATGCGCACCCCACGCCTCGCCTTATTGAAACTCTAGCTAAGACCGCGTGGAACATAATTTCGCGAAATTGGCGGAAGGATTATCCGCGGAAGCCGCTGTAACTAAGCGTCTGTACGGAAACTTTTCTCTACGCCGATTGAGGCGGAACGATGAAGAGAGAAAGAGAAAGAGAGAAATAGAAAGAGCATAGAAGAGAGGGTAGAACAAGAGCGCGGAGAAAGGGGATAAAATCTGGAAGAGCGCTGTATCGATTTCTCGCGGCAACCCTTTGCGTTTTACCTCTTCGTCTCAATCTCAACCCTTTTCTCTCTTTCCCTCTTCTTTCTCCCTTTCTCTCTACTTTTATCTCCCTCTCCTTTCCTCTGTTGGTTGCTCTCGCGACCAAATAAATTAGTTGTCACGAAAGAGCAGAAGCCGGCCAGCTGGCTGGCAGACGGACGATAAAATTACCCGAACGAGCTTAGAGCCGGGGACAAAGTTGAGCCACGCCAAGAGCATTTGCGGAAAGGGTTTGAAGGCAACTGAGATCGCTATTCGTACCTAATTCGCTTCGCGGAAAATAGAAGGTGGACGTTAACCCGGAGGGCGAACGAAAGTGCGGGCGATACGATTGTCACGATCGCCCATTCTCCTAACTCGATCCATGAGCATCCGAGAGAGAGAGATAAGGAGAAGAAGAAAGAAAGAAAGAGAGATCGCGTAAACTGCTGCAATTTCACATATCTAACATGCTCCTGTGATCTTTCGGAATTCTCAACCAAACGCCAAACCGTAACATTATTCGCTGACGAGACCGTTCTCTCATGCTCTCATGCTGTGCCATCTAACATTTTAATAAAAGATTCACATCTCGAAATGGTGCATATGCGCATTCATAAGATTTTCGATGCCTGCATTTTATACACTCGGACCTTGAATATGTCGATTTTATGAATTTCAAGATCGTCAGATTGCCAAATTGTTGGACTCGCGGATTTGCTAGATTCTCGAAGACTCATTGGACTCTGTAATCTCAGGAATTTTAAAATTTTAAATTTTATGCTATTTGGATTTCAAATTTTGAAACTTAACTTTTGGACTCTCTTAATCTTTCTAGTGTTTGTTTTAGACCTTTGACTATCAGTATGCAATATAGAATCCTCAACGGATTTAAATTTCAAATCTTTTTTAGATACATCATTCTATATCTCATAAATGTTTTATATGTTATTAATTTGTAACTCTCTCTTTGTTAAAACAACAATAAGTAAAACTAAACCGATACGAATCTTACAATTAATTGAGAAGATGCCATTTTCGAACTGGATCTTGGTAATCTACAAATAATATAGGTATCTGTATAAATTTTGTATATTTTTCCCAATTCTGTAAACTGTGTGTCAATTATTTGTCCGTCTTAGAACAGCTTTTGTTGGAACGATAAACTCTTAACGTACTAAAATCGATAATCAATTTAACTTTTAATCTATTAAGCATCTTTTTATTTAAATCACTGTAAGAAAATTGCAAAAAATATCCCAGCCATTTAAACCCCCCCTACA